CATACCCCCAAGCCAAAGAATGAGATGCTCTGCAGCGACAGCCTCTTCGCAACTAATCCTGTAGCACACACAGTCTATCATAGCACAGCGCACACACTCAGAACCAGGGAACAAGAGCCACAGCACAGCGATGGCCGCTCATTCAGCAACTACAGTAACAGCAGCTGATGTTAGCACAAAGCACAGCAGTGAGCAGTAACTGCTGGCAGGCCATGTAGCCAATTCGGACTGATAGACTGAAAGGTACGTTAGTGATGGCTACTTTGCTTGTATTTATATAATTGTGGTATTTAACTGAGATGTTTATGTATGTATTAATTAGGCTGAAAGAGCTCATAGTGGGAAGTAGCAAACTTGCCCCTGACCACATGGGGTAAGGGAAATGACACTGAAGCTATGTGCTGCACAGTAAGTTAACGTTTGTAGTGACATAGTATTTATAAAGTCGGGGAGGGGTTATGATAAGTGTTGCTCCATTGCATCATCGAACAGGCTATTAGCCCGCCAAAAAAAACGTGGACACAGAAATGGTGATGAACAGTTTAACGGTCTAACTCCACAATGCAGTACCAGCTCAACATCTTTTCAGATAGTATTTTCTAACATGTAAAATGTTTTAAGAAAGAAGTCACTGATTTTGCTTTACGTGGACTTTAAACTGAGTCCTGCTTGTGTTCAAGGACTTTGGTTAAGGCTACATAAAGATTGTGGTTTTAGTTTAATGCTTAATGGTAAACATGTCATGTGTCACGCTTCAAGTCATTGTGGACTGTTTCAGGATTAAACAAAGATCACAATACTTCCCAATGCATGACCAAATGCTCTGAGTGTCCTAAATGTAGCTGTGAAAACCCTTATTCATGCTAGCGTCTGTTTTGCAACAGTGGCTTTTGTCGAAAAACATATTCAATATGCCCTGAAACTTAGCTGCATAACGGGATGGCTGGCAGTTCCATGTAAATAAAATGCAATGTTAACATTAATACAACCAATACATCTATATGAAAAAAATCTCTGTAGTCTATATAGTTAATGTCAGTACCTTCTAATTTGGTTAACTACTCTCTACATGCAACATGGTAAAAAAAATAAATAAAAAAAATAGCAAACTTAGTCAACATTTCCATTTATATGGTGTGAATTCAAGGCGTTCTGCCGCCATGCTGTGAATGCAGCTTTATACTGCAGCAGAATCACAATGTGTCTTTAAATGCATAAATTATGACACAAAATTAACAGAGGAACCCAAAGAAAGTTCTATTTTTTCATTTTGTTTGGGGGCTACGTTGTTTGTTCTTGAGCTAGTTCTGTTATAATGTGTGATGGTGCCATGAGATCTTCTGCATGTGTGAGCATAATGATGCTGTTGAAGAACATAACATAACCGCCTGTCACACAGACCACTGATCCTAAGAGGATAACTGATACCCTGGAGAGATTTATTTAAGGCATGAAAGAAAAACAAGGCTTTGTGCTCAGGATACTTACTGTTAATGGGAGAAAAGATCCATCCATTATTATATATGAGAGGCACCAGTCCATTCATCCTCTGTATTATCCTGTCAGACCAGTTTTAATTAGCACCTAATTAAGGAACTGTTGCCACCTGCTGAGATCCTTTCACACACTGTGATTAATCCAGGAGCATAGTGGCCTTTTATACTGTTACAGTCTGGATACGTCCTAATGGCTCTCCAGGATTTTTGTTACCTGGAGAGCCATCAGGGCATTTACAATAATGGCCTAATAACGTGCCATTTTCAGTCAGTGCAGTAGATAAAAATGTCATCAACTGCTCTGTGTTACTGTGCAAACAATAACTAAAATGCAAAGCAATTTTTTTTCTGCGAAGGAGAGTTCAAAGTCAAATTTATCCAGTGAGATGTTTGCCTCATCACAGCTTTGGCAGGAGAACCTCCAGCAGTAGCCAAAAGCTGTGTTTTATTATGAATGAGTGGTGGTGTGTCTCCACGCACTGCTGTTTTAATTGACACGGGGCCAAGCAGCTTTGATGTATGAGGCGTTGTGGTGGCAGAGAGAGACGGGCTCTTCATTACTGCTCTCTCTCTCCCCCTCTCCACACCTCCCTCATTCAGAGCAACAGAGGGTGCAGGGAGAGCTTGTCAGCCATGTGAGGGGAACAGCAGAGACAAAGCGTGGGCAGAGAGGAGGGCTGAGGACGTCACTAAAATCAAACGCCCTTTCATTTTCCCAGACTGGGGGAAACCCCTTGAATAATAACATCAGATGATTGAGTTTCTATACAGATTAAATGATTCATAATTAGGTATGTGAATTAGTGGTTAACATCAACAAGCACTGTAGCATTAAGAGGTGTGTAAGGTCAAACAAGTCATTCGCTGACTGAATTTTGAGTGTGTTGCATAAAAAGAGAAGAAAAGAAAGGTCCACATGTCTAAAGTCAGTACTCCATCAGAAGTAAGAACATAATCTGCAAAAATCTCTATCAAATCACGTTCTGTCTGTAATTTCTATTTTAATGTCGGCCAGGCATAAGCTGGAGGGGATCATGTGTCCCTTGTGTGCTTGCATGCCTGAGTGTGTGTATTTGGCTGTCTGCATCTTGTGAGTGTGTGTGAGTGTGTATCTGCCCTTCTGCAGCAAAGCTTACAAACTATTGGACCAAACAGCCTTATATTTTGTGTGCACATGTATGGCTGTATATTTAAGAACCTCTGGTGGTTGCAGCGATTCACAGTTGTTGACAAATCTAAGGTTGCTTCCAGCAAATGTCATCACCTCCTACAATAATCAAACAGACAGAAAAAAGACACCTCAGGTTTACATTTTGTAACATGCTTCAGTAAACAGGCTAAGTAGATCAGACAATCATACTGCTGTATTGGGATGTCCACAAGCAGGACTTCTTCCTGAAGGAGATTTTCAAATATCTGCCTACCTTCTACTGCCAAGGAGCCCCTTCCATAAAGGACAGACTTTAATACAGTCCTCTTCTAGTTAGGAGGGGAGGCCACTGGCTGAAGAGACCTGCTGGGACTTTTAAACACTTGCAAACCTCTTGTAATCAGTGCTCCAACATCATACAGCAGATGGAATTTGCAGACATCAAGACAGAGGATATACATACAATTTAAAAGTGTATTACATTCTATGTTGTGAACCACCTCACCTGCCCATGTGAGTGTTTTTACATTCAGCACACTATGACGCGATAGTGCATATTACTCTATGGTATGTCTTCTGCATAATCTGACAATAAAGCAAGAAATCTCTGTCTGTCTGTCATTGTGTGTCCATCGCATATCTCAAGAACCGTTCATCTAATCTGCTTCACACTTGATGGGTGATTTGATGGGGACATGCATTCTTGAATTTGGTGTAATTTGCACATGGGGCACATTCAATATTAGATGAATAAACTTTGATTAAACAAGCAAACGCCACTCTGTGCAACAGTGGAGTTAGGGCTTAAGGACTCTAATGACAGTCATGAAGTCTCACTGAGTGTATTCCACCGTTTTATCCGACTGCGAGTGGCCATGGCTTTTTCTTTGCCGTACTAACTTTACTAACTAACTTTTGTAAGTTTGCCATAATGTTACTAACATAACACTAATAACGATCCTACAGACGAACCATCTTCGCTAATTAAATCTTTGTTCTACTTTATCATGATGGTTAGCTATGTAAAGCAGGTGACTAATACACCTATTTAAACATGAATACATTTATGTATTTTACTTGTGTTTCTGACCACGAGTAGGTGCGATGGTTGTTTTTCAGGGGTGAATTTAGTGATTTGCGGGCATGGATGCCATCTTACTGGGAATGTTGGTAGGCAATTTGCAATGGTAGAAGAAGTAGGCCTATTTCAAACTTTTTTTATGCCTCCTTATTGCTGATAGCCATGGCCTGAGGCATTATGTTTCAAAGGGTTGACCGTCTGCCCAACCGTCCATCCATTAGTCCGTCCTATTCTGGTGATATCTCAAGAATGCCTTGAGGGAACCTTTTTCTCATTTGGCACAAGTGCCCACTTGGACTCAACGATGAACTGATTAGATTTTGGTGATCAAAGGTCACTGTGACCTTGCGTCCGTCTCACTCTCATGAATGCAATATCTCAAGAAGGCATTAAGGGAATTTTCTTAAATTTGCTGCAAACATCCACTTGCCGTCTACAATGAACTGATTAGAATTTGGTGGTCGAAGGTCAAGGTCACTGTGATCTTACAAAACATGAGTGTTTTATTCCGTCGCTGACTCATCACTCCTCTTAACTGGCAGGTAGGGGCTGCAAGTCACATTGCAAATGCATAGAGCAAAAGGCATATTTGTAAATTGGCTCAGCTAGAAGCCCTACCATTTGTTGCAGCCCACATTTTGGCCTTTGCCTCAGCTCAAAAACTGACATTCATAGAAAAGTCTGGTCTTAGTTTGAGCATCTGTACTTGATATGTTAAGATCCATAAAGGTTAGGGCTGATATGAGATGGAAAGAAAAATGTTTTTGTTATCTTAATCACCATCTTGACTGTAAGGGAGCCGGGGGGGGGGGGGCATTTTACCAGTTACACTGTTGACAAGACTTATCACGATCAGCTTCAGCAGCCATGTTGCGGCCCGAATGCAGCCACCTGCCAGAGATCTGCACTCTACTGAGTGCACTTTACTGATATTTATATTGATATTTTTACGGTTTTTGGCCTCAGTAATAGACACAAATGTCTTGATAAGTTGAAGATTTGTTGCACTTCCAACACAACTTACACAATGACTGGAAAAACTACTTTAAAAGCTTACGTTACCTCTCCTTTTCTCAAATCAGACAACATCTTTCAAGCTATCGCTTTGCTCTTATTTTTACAAAGTTTTACGATCTGTAGAGACAAAATGTGTCTGACCATATTTAACACAGTACATTCTTTTTAACTTCTCAGGCTGTCTACCTGAACTCATAAGTCAAACTTGTAACTAACTGCTGATAAAGGTGTGATTAATGATGTCTTCATGTCTCAGGTTGTCCGACAGCGTGGGATGACATCCGTTGCTGGTATCGTGCTGAGGTGGGACAGGTGGTCAGTGTCTCGTGTGCCAATGTCTCCCAGCTGTTTGCTAATAACCAAGGTAAATCAGTTCAGCACACCTTTCACAAAGCTAGGTGACATTTGGAGGCACATGCAGCCACCTAGAGGCATAAGTGGTTTAAGTAGCTGCTTACTAACCCTTTGACTGCAAAAGCATTTTGATATTATAAGAAAAATATAGTCACTAAATTTTGCTAGGTTATTTTTCTTTGTGGAAGTTGTTATATGTTGAAATTATTTGTTGTCATCGACATTTGCACTTTTGTGACCCTATTTTTGGGGCAGCAGAGATGTTTGAGGAGGTGTAGCGAAATGATTGATAATCCTGCCAACAGTGATACTGAAATTCTTTTCATCCTCCTGCTTGTGCCTGCGCTGTATTTCCCACATTGTTGTTGGAGAGAAGCATGTGTGATTTCTCAGTTGATTTTCCAAAGGCCAAATAACAGGCAGATACAGCTTTTCCAGCATAATGAACTTGTGTTCAGTACATCCATCTTTCATTTTACAGCTCAGCGAAGTGACTAGATTATATATAGAAGTCTCTAAGGACTAGTTTTATGCTTTCAATGGACGTTTTTCTATTCTGATCACGTGGACTTTTCTCCAGTGTCTAAACTTGGCTGCAGAGAGCACTGCTCTCCTCAGTGTTTACATGACCCCCACCTTCACCAGACCGCTGTCTCATCCAGCTGGCCAGTTTAAAGAAAACAGAATATGCTCTGAATCTCTCATGTACAGTATCATCATACTGCCAGACAGATACAGATGCAACTGAGATGATAAAAAAAAAAAAAAATTGTCGCTGGACATTTGAGAAACGAACCAAAATCTGCAGTGGAAATATGAGGAAGTAGAAAAAGAGGCAGTACAAACTTTGTTCATCAAGTCAAGAATTAAATTAGAAATAGCCTGACCACCTACAGAGCGTTAGACTTAACATGTTACAACCAAACTTCTCTACTATTCATATCTTTATGAAAATGTTTATTAATGCTATTGTTTTTGTTTTTAAAAAGATTAATATTGGCTGATATTTTCAAACCCTTGAATACACAATACTATTATGTTTATATAAAAGTAAACTCCAGGGTAAAGTCCCTGTGGCTGAGCCGACCGCTAGCAGCAAACTGTGCTTGTTCCATAAACAGTGCCAAACCATGGCAACAGTGCTGACGGAGCAAACAGTATTAAAGCTGGGGTAGGCAGAAATCCTTTGTCCTGTAGCTCCCCCTTCTCAGGCACATAGTTCATAAAGTAACCTACCGTTTCCCATACATTGATTTATTTAATCCTATTTCATCTTACCTCCTATTCCTATATCCTATTTTTATCAAACCACAGATGAGACAAGAATTAGCTAGCTAACTTTAGCGACCCGATGGTCCCTTCGCTTTGCTTTCTGCTTCCTCGTGAGAAGAGCGGGCAGCAGCTTCAGCTTGGGAGAAAAACTTTCGATGTGCAGCTGCAGTGGCTCTAATTCGGCCAGCATGAACACCCCAGAAATATTGCTGATCCTGCTGGGAGTCAGGTTTGTCCAGTCCACCAGAGCTGGGGTTTGCTGCAGTCGCTGAATAGGGGTCCTCAATAGGGGTCCATCTCTGGAGCTGCTGCCTGCTCTCCTCCCAGTGAGATGGTCTGTAGTGGCAACAAGTAAGGCAGGGGACAGTGTGATTTGAGGCTCTAGCTATTGTTAGCTACATGAACGTGAACATGAAGCCTCAACTGTGAGTCTTTGGCTCCAGTTATCTGACAGCTAAATTATTAGCACCATTTTCTCCATCTTTAAAACATTTTGCCAATATTGACAGGTTTTGTTTTGTATATTGACAGACCACCTTTTGTATAAGTCCGTCTTCCTTTTTTGGGTTGCTTTGCAGTGTAGGCAGTTGTTGCCAATGCTGGAATGGCAACTTTCTCTGGAGGACTCTCTGCCATTGAGTCAGGCTGTCACATGCATGCACATCTGCATTAGTGGAACAAGCAATAGTTGGCCAAAGTCTCCTGTCAGGGCCTAGATTTTCTAAAGTCTGAAAAAAGAGCCAAGAGGAGGTGCAGAAGTCATTTTTTTTCTCAGTTCACTTGAATTACAATAGCCCAAAGGTTAACGTGGTGTTTTTGCCCAATGAAGCTAAAATTAAACTGCCTACCTGAGCTTTAACCATATGGGAACTGGAAAATGGGCACTACATTTCCGCAATGTCACTGTCCTGATATCAGTGGTAACCTCCGTGTGAGCACTGTGCAAAGCAGTAAGTAGCAATGAGCTAGTCAGTGGGATAGGCTACATAGGCCTACCTGCACTGAAATGCGCGTGCTGCCGGCTTACCACAGCAAACCATCAGAGGAGCTCTGATTCCAGCACACACAGAGGTAGTGTGACTTTATTCTCTGCTCAGGAGGCCATTACTCCAGTATATCTTTACATAGCAAATAGCAGTTTGCTGCTATAGTAATGCTCTAATGACTTGAAACACGTTTTCATTGATATTTAAGGGTATATTCTGCAGGAATTGTCGGTCACTGTTTGTAAACAGTACATATGGCGAAAATGGAAGTCAAAGTATTACTGTATAACTTTTCACAGTGGAGTCAGTAGCTGCAGAGAGCATGTGCAGTATGTGGGATGCTGGATGTAGAAAATGATGCACTTGACCAACTTTCAGCAGCAGTGAAAATGAAGGACAGCACAAAGCAGAGGAGAAGAAAAAAACACAGCAGTGAAAGTTAAGCGCACTCTTCAGGAGGATCAGGAGGCGGGGGTTGCTGTTGATGACCTCATAACTCAGTGTTAGTGGGTTCCTGGACCCCACTGGATTTCCTCCTCCACAGACACCGGGATAAGTCAAGCGCTGTAGCTGTGATCCAGCCTATCCAACAGGAGGCTGCATGCAGAGAAAATAATGAATTGGGAAATCAAAGAGTTCACTGTAAGAGCCAAGAGCATGAGGAAGGAATTGGCGCTGCTTGTTAAGCATGGCAGTTTGAGCACTAGCACCCTCCCCAGAGCCTCGGCCTTCAACCCCCATTCAAATCCAACCATTCACCCACCGACGCTGTGGCTGCAGGCCGTTATACTGAAGCTAATGCAGCTGGATATCGGTAAAACCACCCACGACTCAAACCCCCACACTCTGCTCGGCTGTGCTGAGGAGCCGGACGGGCATACTCACATCATGAAACTGAAATCTTTTATTTTACTGTAAACTTTTCATCCTCCGTCTCATAAACACAGATTCTCACAGAAAACCTGATGACCTTGAGTGACTCATGACCGCCGTGAAGCTCGGTGAGCTCAGTGAGCTCCGTCATTCTTACTTCAGGCCATGGTGGGAGAAAATGACTGCAAATGTGCCTCATTTAAATTCATCATCGACAGCCTTCACCTGACCGGACTACTGTCAGTGTTACCTAGAGCTGTTAGGAAAGTGAACAAAGTAAATACCTCATACTGTAATACTTTTGTTATACTTTTGGACAGGGAACCAAGGTTAAACAACTCCTTGACTCAGCATTGAGTTAAATTGTCTGAAGGATAGAAAAAGAAAGTTTGAACTGATAATCGAGTCATCATGCTACAATTTTAGCCCTGCAGGTAGCCAACTAAATTTATTGAATTCATTAAATCAAATTGTTATACTTCTAAAGTGCACTGGAATCAAATTAGGCTGCCAATATGTCCATACAGAGGATTTACTGATGCATTAGAAGATGTTTGTGCAGAGTATTGATTCCAACAATCTACCTTGGTCATGTTGAACAAGCAGTTTAACAATCAACAGGAAAGGAGGAAAGTGTAACCACGTACTGTATAAACATCGCTGTACAGGTTCTCAAAGTGCCCGAGTGAAAAAATGTACATGCACATCGCTTGAATCAGAGTATCCTGAGGGACTGAAGGTTGTTGCGGCTGCACAGTATTTCTCAGCTCAGAAGTGAAAACTCCAAGACAAGAACTATGATTGAGGAGTGTGAGCAGGTCATGCTGCCCCACTGCTCCATGGAACAGCAGGTTGGCCTCGTGGTGTGACAGACAGGTTACTTGGTTACTTTATTTGTACAGTATGTCAAAATAGACAACCACACAATACTCATTCTGTAACTGATTTTTGTTTCTGCAGTTTGACTGCATGGGATTATAATTGGATTGAGGCTCTCCAGTACAGCAGACCAAAAACCACTATTAAAAATCACACTTTAGTTAGCAGCTAGCATTGCTGACTTTCAGTCAGATCCATAGACTGTATAAAATACTGGACGTAGTGACCGAGACGTCACTCACTGATTTGTGGATTTTATAGCAGAGTCTGGCATTTTGATCATTGCCATCTTGTTTTGTTGGAGCCAGAAGAAACCAAATTTGAAAAAGCTACATGTAGCTATAGAGACCAAAATTGTTTTTTGCACCAGGCTGTAAGCATGTGTGTTTATAAATCTGGGCATTTTAACATGAAGGTCTATGGGGACTGACTGGCTTCTGGAGCCAGCCTCAAGTGGCCATTCAAAGAACTGCAGTTTGTGGCACTTCAGTGTTGACATCATTTCTCAGCCCTGGAAGTTCCCCATTGTTCAAATCCCTTTGTGCGCTGACACATAGAGGCAGGCAGCCATTCATACCCACATTCACAGAGTCACCAATAAACCTAACTTGCAGAGAACACGCAGAAAATCCACGCTGGCACGAAGAGAACATGCAAACTCCCCCCAGCCAGCCAGCAGGGTCAAACCCACAACCCTTTTGCTGTGGCGACAGTGCTAACCACTGTACCTGTGTGTCACCCCTAGTCAGCCATACTGCAACACATAAAGCGAGAAGGTCAGAGAAAATATTTCTTTATCTTTTTTTAATCTATTTTTGCTCTCTTTATCTTGTAAAGCATCATCAATTAGATTAACATGCTTTTTATTAATAACAGACACACGCGCACGCACACACACACACACACACACACACACACACACACACACACACACGCGCGCGTGCGCGCACGCACGTTTTAGGAGACTTGCACAACTTTCAGTCAGATCCTTTCAGACATAAGAAGAGAATGAAATTTATGTTTCACTGACTCCCACAGTTACACAAATGCAGAAATTTTAGCTTAATGTTTCCAGCCAGATGGTGACAGCAGTTAAACTTTTTTGTTGCTTTCCAAACACTAAAGTAAAAAAGTGATGGAAGAGGAAAAATAATCGTCTCTAAACTTTTGACACATCAATGCTGAATCCTTACCACCTCTGTCTGGCAAACGGCAAAGCTTGTTGTTGTGTAGTGTGTTTGTGTTTATGTATTGACAGGGGTTTGTCATGTGTCCTCTTCATAGGAGGTGAGTCTCCAGCCGCTCAGGTCATTAACAGACAGATGGAGTTTAAGTGCAGCCCATTGAATCCTAATGAAGAGCAGTGGCGTTATCTCACTTCTGAGAAATGACCAGAGCGTCTGTGCTCATGTGTATACATGTGATTAGTTGCATCTGTAGAGAGAGGGGAGGTGGGGTGAAAGCGAAGAGTGTATTTACGCTTATTATTCATCAGTGTCTCAGTAAAACTAATAGACTCCATCAGGACAGCTGCATATTCATGAATCTAAACAACAAATGACAACAAATTGAACATTAATCAGCCATCATATTGTATTTGCATGTGATGCTGTCATAAACAACGTGTCTGTGCTGTCCTTTGTTGATTGAGCATGACTCTGCAGTTTTAAATTCAATACATTTTTGAGACTTGCGCATGTCCATACTGTACCTGGGACTTAACCTCTGATCATGCAACAAAAGTCTGTTTGAGATCCCCCAGTCTAAGATTTAAAATGAAAAGAGCTGTGCATTAGCTGTCAGGGGTCCATGTCATTGGTTCGACAGCCCATTGGTTCGACATCCCATTAGTCTGACTGTCCGCGGTGCTGAATGGCTTGCGACGGGCGTATGGTGCGCCGCGACCGGCTTGAGGTATAGCAGGCTCACGGCTTATGTGTTTGTCACTTTCTTTTTCATTTTAACCCACACCATGATCTTTTCCTGACCCTAACCAATTGATTTTTGTGCCTAAACCTAACCAGACCTTAACCACAGGGCATCATGATGATTTCGGAACGGACTTCGGAACAATGAGTTTAATATAGTCGGAACAATGGGCTGTCGAACCAATGGGCTGTCGAACCAATGGGCAGTTCCCGCTGTCAGTGCCCCCAGAAGAGCTTTCCCAGTGAAATCCATCATGGCTTCCTTTAAATCTCTATGAAAAATATTTTAATAACTTGCCTTGCTTTCCTTCATGAAAATGGAAAGACACTGCTGTATGCCGTCAAATGTCCAACCAGGGAAAACAGCCTGGGAACAAAAGCATCAAGACAGGGGTGTCCACATGCTTTTGGCCTTGTAGTGTATATGCCTCTGAAACTTTTGCTACATACCTCAGTAAAATAAAGGTAAGGCGAATTTTGTTTGTGATGCTTCAAGCATTCAAACGTTGCATTTAAAGGTCTAGAAACAATGTTCAGTTTGTTCGGAATAATCCAAACACCTTAATGTGGACATGATTATGGGACTAATTCTACCCCCGACCCCTAACTGTTAGGACTGCTACGCTGTTAGCCCTGTCAGCACTGTTGCGGTTGTTAGCCCTGTTTGTGTTGTTAGCACCATTAGCTGCTTGCTATTAGCTGAGCCACCTTCATATTGACAACCATGTGCTCAGACTCTGAGCCATAGATATGTTCTAAATGTTGCATATAGCTCCTTTAATATCTACATTTCCTTGCCAACTGTCTGGAGCCCCTCCCATGGTGCCAAGTTCAGACTTCCCCCTCCAATTAAAACACGTATTTTAGTGCTCTGTGTCATTTATTTACGCTTCAGCTACCTTGCTTCTCTTGGGTGACTGTTAAGTGCCACATCTCTCACTTTTCACTGTTTTGGGTTAGCTGTCTAGTCCTCCTAGTAATGTTTTGTGCTCAGATCGTTCATGTGAATAACACATCAGCTGTGCGCTTGAGATCATATTCAAAGATGGGTGAGTAATTGTTGTCTTCTTATGTTTGTACTATTTAAACAAAAAAAATAAGTTTTATTGTATGATATGTAGTGGAAAAGACATATGGTCAACAGCATTGTTATTAGCGACTGTCATTAACAGAAACTTTCAGCTCTAGTTTGTTGGTTTGTGGGTCGAGTTTGAGTTTGAGTGATTGATTAATGCATTTGAGGTCGGGTGTGGGCTGGGTTTGTGTGTGTGGTGCATTATCCTAGATGCATTTCCTTGCAAAAATATTTTTTCAGTGACCTACAGGAAAGCTTGTGCTGGGTGAGGATTGACTGTTTAATTCACCTATTAACTTACCTGGCCTCCTCAAGTAGGGATTGTATTCCTGCAATTGTTCAGTGAATTCACTGAATGATACATTTCTTAGAGCGACTGTTTTCTTCATATGATCTCCTCTGTCCTTGCTATGACAGCTTTATATGTTGTTTTAGGTTACATCTACAGGAACTGCACTGAGAATGGATGGTCCGAGCTCTACCCCTCCTATGAGGAGGCCTGCGAGTTCACAGAATACGAAGTGACAGAACCAGAGGTAAATGTTTAAACCAATTTTTCTGTGAATTATTCTGCAGGGAAAAACTACACATCTGTGAGTTCATTCTCATTTGGATTTCTTGTCTGTTTGGTCGCCATTATAACTGTGTAAATACGTTAAAGGTGCCAAACCATATTTAACATATTTATCCATTCCAGCATGGTGGATATATGAGGACTCATCAGACAAGATATGTGCTGTGCTGTAGACTGGCTAATATAAATATTTTTTTTATATGATGCCCTCTCTTGTCACCAACATATTTTAATTACTTTTAATTACTAGCCTTATAACTGCAGCCCATAATTTAGCTTATTATGGTTGAGTAGTAAGGCTAAATGACAGATGTTGTTTCAGGCAGGCAGTAATATAGATGATTGACATGTCCCTCCCGCTCTGAGACATCAACACGAACCCTCCGAGACTGTCATCACTGGAAACATGACAGCAAAATGTCCTACATTTATGTTTTCCCAAAAGATGACCTCTTGCTGTTGAGCAAATGTTGCCTCTCCTCTCTAAGTAGCAAAAGAGGAAGTAATGATGTTGATAATAAGGTGCTTTGCTCAAGAGAAAAGCTTAGGATTTATCTGTCTTATTGGAAGAAGTGCAGATCAAACCATGCAAGTTTCCAAGTATGACAGGTCACATTATCATTGAAATATTCCCCAAAGTTCACTAAAGGGTCCAGCTAATGTCTTGTCAGATTAAGCAAACACTCTTCAAAGGAAAACTTGTAAGATTTGCGTCATTTTTTTCAGGTCTGCATCTGATTAATTACAAAACATAGATTCAAATCAATCCTGCAGCCTTGCTCATAGAAGACATGCCACATGCACCTCACCTCCAAAGTGTTGAACCACTTTTTACAAGTTAAAGCTAACTTACATACAAATGACAACATTTATTGTCCCCACTAAATACTTTCTAAGTACACTGTCTTCCACCAAAGACAAATTGTTAAAAAGCAGTGGCAGCTTAGTTTTTTCATCACATTAATTAGCACTTGTAAGGATGGGTGAGAAAAGTGTGAGTGAGCAGTTAATAGTTAATATGTACATGTTGACATTGGTTTAATCTCTTCATTCTATTTTATCTTTTCTTGTATTTCAGACATCTTACTTCTCCAACTTCAAACAGGTGTACACTGCTGGCTACGCTACCTCCCTCATCTCTCTGATATCAGCTATTTTTGTTTTCACTGTGTTCAGGTAACATTGTTCATCCTCCCGAGAACAAACAACAGCATTGGTTCAGTCTCAGCAAGTAAAAATGACATTCATTCACGTTCAAGTGACAGTGCCCCCTAGCTGTTGTAGTAATTTTGTGTTGGGAGCAAAAGAGGAAGTCAGCTGAGGTTATTGTAGAGTGATATTAGGATAAATGGTGGCAGTCGGGGTAGATAGATGTTTCAACAAAATGTCGGACTCTAACATGAGAGACTGTTTTTTTAGTTGTTGTTGTTGTTGTTGTTGTTGTTGTTTTTGAGGCAGGACCACAATTGCCCCTAACCTTAACTACGAGTATTATTGTAACCATGTCAACAAATGGCCCCTAACCTTGACAAAGTAGTCATAAAGTAGTTTCCTTATCCGTTGTGAGGGTCCTAAGGACAGAGGGATGTCGTATGCTGTAAAGCCCTGTGAGGCAAATTGTGATTTGTGATATTGGGCTTTATAAATAAAACTGATTGATTGATTGACCCATCCTTCCAACTACTATCATCAGGTCGCCGTTACAAAGTCCCACTTTCCTGGAAGAACACATACAAAAAAACTTTTGTTCCCACGGCCATCACCACCCTGAACAGTTTAAAATAACAATTGAAGTCCCACCCAGATACACTGCTTTGTTGTATATCTTGTCTATTGTGTTTTGTGTGTCCTTGTCTATTTTATTTCGGAGCTTGCCAAAGACAAATTTCTGTTACTTGTGACAGACAATAAAGGTTTATCTTATCTTATCTTATCTTATCTTGATTGATTGATTGATTGATTGATTGATTGATAAGTCAGAAAATCGGCTACAGAAAATGCAAATTTATGTGCTTTTTCCACCCACTACAGTTTTTTGAATACTGGATGTTGGTTCATTGAGATAAGCAGTAGGTGGCAGTGGCACTAATTTTCCAGTCAGGTGCCATTATTACCACTGCAGAACAAGAGTGCCAATCAAACCTCAAACAAAGGAAAACAATGATTGTATGATAAAAATAGAGAGTTTTGAACAACTAATATTACAGCTGTCTGTTGTTGGAAGAGTGGCGAAACTTTTCTGTGATATGTCAAGATTTTTGAATTTTTGATGTCTCCACCCTGGCATTTTGATGTGCAAATTAAGAATGTGCATAAAAAGAGGTGGTTGGAAACACACCTATTTTCACCCAACCATGTTGTTTTTCTGCCTTAACCTAAACCTTAACCACAGCAATACCACATCATCAAAGAGATTAGTTTTTTTCAACAATGATTTGTAACAGCTTTGTAAAGTACAGATTAATTATGTTGTTCTGGCAATAGGGGCGTTAGATCAGTCATCACTTGTGAACAAATGACATAATTGGGGGACTTGTTATCATTTCCCCCTCAGTACTTGTCAAACTAAACTCAAGCCATCTTTACTGAACAAAATTTCCCATCATAGGTGTTTGAAAGTCTTAAAAATTTATATAAAACATGTTCCTTTTAAAAATGACTCACTAAAGTTTTTCTCTGCTCTCTCAGGAAGTTTCACTGCACCAGGAATTACATCCACATCAACCTGTTCTTCTCCTTCATCCTGAGAGCGAGCGCTGTCTTCATCAAAGATGCTGTTCTTTTTTCTGATGAAAACCTGGACCACTGCTTCATGTCTACTGTGAGTGTGATACCCTCCACCACAGCTCCATTAGTGTGTCTATAATGTATAGTTACTAGTGAAGGACTCACATCCTTTACGCAAGTGGACCCAGTGGTTCCACTTATGTGAACATACTGTGCTACAGTACAAGCAGCTTCGTCCTGTTTTCAAAAATCTATCTTAGAAACATGTTGCGGTAAAAGTATTGAAAGTAAAAAACTACTGAGAGTGAAGGTGAATAGAATGGAGTTGGAGGACTATCATGCTTTCAGATCAGTTGAAAGAAAGAAAGAAAGAAAGAAAGAAAGAAAGAAAGAAAGAAAGAAAGAAAGAAAGAAAGAAGAAATGACATAGAGAAGGATGCAAATTAGGAAGGAAACAAGGAAGAATGAAAGGTGGAGAGGAAGAATAAAGGAAAAGAATTGAGAAAATAAAGTGTGAGATGACACAAATGTTGTATGATCTCATGTTGGATGTAAATAAATAGGACAGAAGAACAAAAACTAACTTTGAAAATAAATGATCTGTGTCATATCAATACAGTCAGCTGGTTTCAGGTGGGGGCAGAATAACCTGCATTTTGTTATCTTGACATGAATCTCACAAACTCTGAAGAGTTCATTATCACAGAGAGCAGGAAGGAGTGGGATTGAAATGCTGGGAGTGTCTGTGCATGAGCCTGGGAGAGCATTAACGACAAGTGTTTCTCTTCCTATTTTTCTGTTGATGAGACCACCTTGACAGAAGGTAAGTGTCCCTCTTGTGTGGCCACGAGGGACCAGCAGCAGCACATCACCGTCACTTACTTGGATGAAAAGGACCAGTGAGAGCAGAGGATGAGAGACAGCTCTTGTGCTCTATCTGAGCACAAATGTTTTTCAGACAAAAAGACATAAAGGACAGAGGAAATTGATGAAGGGATGATGTTGGAAAAGGGTTTAAAAAGAAAGTCAATTACTCATTGCTTTAATTTTGAATAAATAGGAAAGATCCTATTAGTAAATAAAATGTTGACACTGACACTTCTGAAATATGTAAGAAATGTTGCTTTAACTAAAATTCTTTAATATTAAATCACTCTACCTATTTTGTTATCTTATACAATTCTCTAACCCTCTTTTTTTTCTCCATGGCAACACATGTTTCAGGACTGAATGTAGGACGTTCATTGTATAAAATTATGGTTATGAAAACATGATTTGCTGACAAGCAAATGAACAGCACAGAATGATGGGTCTTGCCATGCTCACAGTTAGCATCCAGTCACAAAGATGACTAGTGCTAGCCAATTACAGCACAGTAGGGTTGGACTTGACAGGACGGTGGGAAAAATAGCATGTCCTAGAACGGTCCCTCTATTGAATGTTCAAATCTAATACCAGTGCTCCTAATGACACCTGGCAGGACAACAAACAAGCTCACAGCTGGTAATCTGTTGGCTGTAGTCATAAATTGAGTTGTCGACAAAATCTAAAGTTGTTAGCTCAAAATGAAAAGCTTTTACTTCACTCCTAGTTGGAATCAAGAGCAATTGTTTCAAAAATTAGTGTGAATTTTGAGTGATAAATCTGCCACCACTGATTATGTATCATTGTATCTCTTTGACAGGCATAGCAACAGTAACTTTAGGGGCAGCACTAGACCTTACTAGAGTACAGTTGTAATCCACAGCTTCTATTGTGTCTGACCAAGCAGAGAATTTCCACTTTTTTAATATACTGTATAATAGAGGTGTAATGGTACACAGAAGCCACAGTTCAGTTCATATTACAGTTTGGGAGTCACGCTTCAATGCGAGTTCATGCAGTGGAGAAAATACAAATGCATAAGGATACATTGTTTGTCATTTATTTTGAACATACAGTGGTGAAAGTCTCTGAGCACTGAGAGTATTTTGCACACTTTCTCAAAAAGCAACAGGGCACAACCAAAGACTATGAAAAATAATGCACATAGCTACCATGACATCACTCATTGTTTTGTGGACTCCCGTTTTGAAGGCACTATATTTGGCCATATTGCGCCATATGTGACCATATTATGTGTAACTTTAGGCCTTAAAAAATTATAAACAAGTGAGTTAAATAAACCTTTTGTACAGTTGCAATGAACGCTGAAATAAGCCATAAAGATGAGAAGCAATTATTTGCACCAGGCTGTTGATATGTTTATTTATGCTCTAAAGTTTTGCATTTTAACATGGGGGACTTTGAAGACTGGCTTGCCTCTGTAGTCAGCCTCAAGTGGCCGTTCAAAGAACTACAGTTTTTGGCACGTTCACATTTTTTTAATTTTTTATCTCCCGAGGTTCCCACTTGGTCACAATAGGCTATAAAACTGAAAAGCATCTCTTATGATATGAAATTTAAAATAAAAAATAGACAGAATAATAAAATAAAACTTTAGGGTGGCAAGTAGTTTTATCTTGGCTATAGACCCTTTTACTGTTAGTAAACAGTGTAATATTTTTTGGTGGGCCTCTTAACACCTCGCCAATTTCTGATTATGTGGACATTAAAACTCTTAATACACATCATGTTATTCATCCCTACAACAGTAAACACTTTTTCCCTAACCTGATATGAAGTGTGTGCTGGCCACCTGAGCATTCTTGATAACCCCCTTCGCCCAGTCCCTTCGTCTTATCACATTTAACCATAGCTGTCTTTGTTTTTGTTGTCGGGCAGTGGAGGCTGGTATGTGATAAAATGTAAGTTTTGAGTCATGACTTCCTCTATTCTGGCACCCAATAACACAACACAAGACAACATTGTAAGACTCCTATGTAGTCTACAGCCCTGTGGTGGTGAGTTGTGTTTTACCTCTAGCTAACAAACTGACATCATTGTGACATCAGGGTCTATATGCCACTGTTAACGCCTTTTGCTTCAATAAATGTTTTGTTACATTTTGCTTGTGTGACTGAAGGCTGTTTAAGGAGTTGGGTTCAGGACGGTTTATTTTTCTTCGTCTCAATTAGTGGCACATCTGGGTGATGCTGTTGAATGTGTTAGCGTGTTTGATGTGTTTCCATTCATATACAATACAACAGCAGAGCAGTGCTAACACACCATCTTTGTCTCTCTCTTTTGCTGTTGTAGCCAGCCAGGAAGCCACAACTCTTGCAACTATGGCATTTCATTTTTGCTCACTATATTGTGATAGGTTCACAAAACATTCAGCTTGTGGTGCTAACCTCAGCACCTGTTGCTAAAAGCAGCTAAAAGTTCAAGAACTCACACTTGCAAACTGAACTGAACTGAACTGTGACCCCCGCACCTTCATGGTTTGGTAGGAATACACAAGCCATTAAAACTCTAATATATCACCTTCTTTGCCCTCAAATGCATCATCATTGCAGACCTCCCTGTGACCCATACATTAATGGGAGAGACCTGTACTGTTACGACCAGCCCAGCTAAATAACATCCACCGACTCATCTGATGCGTGTGGCTTTTGTTGTTTTGTCTCTACAGACATCCTGTAAATCAGCCGTGGCCTTCTTCCAGTTCAGTATCCTGGCCAACTATTTCTGGCTGCTGGTGGAGGGAATGTACCTGCAGACGCTGCTTGCTCTCACCTTTGTCTTCCAGAAGAAATACTTCTGGTGGTACATACTCATCGGCTGGGGTGGGCGATCCTTCTCTTTCACCTCTTTCTGTTTACCTTCATTTTCTTCCTTCCCTCCTCTCTCTGTCTCTTGTTAGAGCTCTGCTTCTGCTCTTCCCTAATGATCAGGTCACTCTCTTTGTTCCTTCCAGGTCTTCCTACAACAATCATAACGGCGTGGATCCTCACTCGAAACTTCTACGATAACAAGGGGTGAGCTGCTGTGGTAGAATATCAGAAAAAAAATGTCACAAAAAAAAATGAGGAAACTTCAATAAGCATACTCAAGTATCCTCCCAATAAGACCCACTGTCATTAATTTATGTATCCAACCATACATGCATCAAAAACATCTATGTATATTAGGAATTTAACCCTTTTTTGGTTCAAAGAACTTGTGTGTACCTGTTTTATGCAGGTAAAATCAAAGAAAAAGTTCAGAAGGAAAAAACAACAACTTTCTAAACACTTGTGAATTTGCTTATTAGCTTAGCTTTGGTGTTTGCATAATGCTTGTGAAGTGTTTGATGCACAGTTGTTTAAGAGAATATGAAAAAGAAGAAAAATAATCAGTTTATCCTTGCGTCATAATTTAGTCTTGCTCACAAGGATTTGCCTCCACAATTTCTAACAGCATGTGTTTCGTGATGAGATGAACAATATTGTACTCCTGTGACTGCCTTGTTTATCTCATTGCTGTCTCAGGTGCTGGGATGACACAGATGTGGCCTTCATCTGGTGGATCATAAAAGCTCCAATAACTGCGTCACTACTGGTGAGTACAAAGCAGTAACAGGAGCTACTGAGGAATTATAAGCGTCCTCAATATTGGATCAGACCTGTGTGACTCTTTAACTCTGCAGCCTGAACCAGCCACAGCAGACTCCTATCCTGTGTTCTCGTTGCATGCAACAATAACAAGTCAAAGAAAGCTGATGCATTTCCTACATGAAAGCAGGGAAACTTGGCCAGTATATGGAAAAAGCTTGTTATCTTTGGCAGTTAACACCAACAGTTAATCAGCGCACTTCCATGTTTCTCTGTTGGTGTGATTTTGTTTTGTTTGTCTTTTAAATCTGAAGATACAAAGCCTTTCTTTGATCATGAAGCTCAGTGTAAACTGTGGAATTCTCTTGTTTATCAGTGAAGTGCATGAACTACACTGCAGACTGAAACTCACAGTGACAAATACATTGAAGGGACGGCTGACTCATTTGAGTGCGTCCAGTGTGAGCTGACTGCACATGAGCAGGTCTGCGTTATAAACCTCTGGTGTATGACATGTCTGTATGGTCACTGCACTTAATATTTCTAATGTATGATCATCTGGTCATGGGTCACATCTCTTGCCATGTTCATGTACAGTCTCAATCCCTCTCCTTTTCTTGCAGTTCCCATACCCATACAACTGAAATTACATCCAGTAACTACTAGTACTAATGGCAGAATGTTACCAGCGTAAACACTTTGCTTTTTTGCAACTACAGTGTAGAAAATAGCAATGTTTATTACAACATCAGTAATATCTGCTGCCTTACTTTGGACACACAGCTCCAACACGCTGTTACTCATGATGTGTAGCAAATCAGATAGTGGTCTGGGTGGGATGATAAGGGAGGGTACTGAGTGATGCAGACAGGCAGCTGCCTCAGAGCCAAAGTAGCGCATTTTTCAATTAATTATTTTATCACCTATCATATTAAAAAAATGTATCGTGGCAGGCCACCACAAATAAATCAGTATGTGGGAAATATAATGACTAGTGCAACATCAAGAACATCATCCATCACTGGTTTCTCACCAGTGGTGTAGTGAGGGGTATACGCAGGTAGATGTCGTATACCCACTTTTTTTTTTACTGGCCATTCGCAGTATACCCACCTTTCATCGATCAAGACGTTGGCATATATAGGAAAGTATATCCACTTCTCCCTCGGTGACCTACCTATCTACCTAGTAGTACACCCACCTCATGAACTACCACTACACCACTGCTTCCCACCTGTGAACATGCCAGACCAAACTCGGAAGGGATTGGTCTACTGTCTCTGTGTGTGTGTTTTGCTTCTGTGCCGCCATAGTTGAAGATTAAGTTGTAGTTTATTTGTTTTTTTTAATTTGGAAGCACATATATAATTATTTGCAATCATATTTTAAGGATAGATATTTGGAATAATGGTCCTTAAAGGTACAGTTAAATCTATCCATGCACTTTTTGGTATGATATACAAAGTTAAAAGTAACTGGACCTAGTTTGTTAGTCCCAAAGATATTCTCCATCAAGCAGCTCCATTAGCTCCACTGACTGGAAGGGAGACCCAGGCATTGATCAGTAAAACTTATGAAGCCTTTGGTGAGCATGTTCCAGAGGGGACTTGATATTATTTAAGTTTGAAGTGTAGGTGAAACATGAGGTATCTCAAGACCCAGGTCATTTTCTTGAGTGAGGGGTTAATTGCTAAAAGATTTCTGCTACTGTAAAACCTTAACTCTTAATGTCATTTTAAGTTTTTCTAACCATGATTAAGTAACCTCTACTGCAGTCGTTGTCACTGCAGGTTTGATGTGATGATACAACAGCAGGCCAGCAGATAAAAATGGCTGCAGATGTAGCACAAATATTGTGGTGGTTCTTTCATATTTTTGGTAACATCTATTCATGTGTTTTATGTAGGTGAACTTCATCATCTTCATCAATGTAATCCGCATTCTGGTCCAGAAGCTGAGATCTCCTGGTGTCGGTGGCAACGACACCAGTCACTTCAAGTGAGAAGAGAATCCATATCCCTCCACATGATGACATGCCCAGTAGTGTTGTTTTTGGCGGCCTGTTTTAATTTTAGTTTTAGTCTAGTCTTTGTGTTAAACTGTCATTTTAGTTTTTATTAGTTTTAGTCACGTTCATACTCTTTTTTGTCTAGTCAAGTTTCAGTCAACTAAAAGTCTGAGCATTTTAGTCTTATTTTAGTCAGAATAATCAATGACTATTTTCATCTAGTTTTAGTCGACGAAAACTGATGACATTTTAGTCTAGTTTTAGTCAATGAAAATTGTATTTTAGTCTCTTTTTAGTAATTACATTTGAATTAAATTATGAGTGGTCGTCAGGAGAGGACGAGGAAAAGGAAAGCCAGGACTCTTCTGTGCAGACCTCTAGGTGTGTTTGTGTAACATCAGCTGACCTCAACAAACTGGAGAGGAGCAAAAATTAAGCGATAACGGTCAGGAATTATCAATGATCATCTGATCTGACGTTTTGGTCAACGAAAATGAAGAGACATTTTAGCAGAGGTTTTATTTTGTAAACCACATTTAGTCTCGTTTTTATTTGTTAACAATATTGCATAATATATTTTAAATTATAGTTATCGTCACATGACCACCATTTACATTGCGTCTCATCTCGTTTTCGTCATGTGATAAAGGTTTGTTGACGACGATATTTAGTCATACTTTTCGTTGACGAAAGCAACACTAATGCCCAGACTTATTGTATATAGTCTTCATGGGTCTTTTTTAACCATGTGTGCAGGAGGCTTGCCAAATCCACCCTGCTTCTCATCCCTCTGTTTGGGATGCACTACATGGTGTTTGCCTTCCTGCCAGAAAACACAGGAGCAGAGGCCCGAATCTTCATAGAGCTCGGCCTGGGATCCTTTCAGGTAAAACACACAACACAAATACAAATTTTTCATGCAAACATTGAGACCCAGTGTCAGACAACTTTGCTCAGGGTGTTGACTTTATTTTGATATTTAATATGTAACAGTTTTGCATCATATTTTTCTGCTCTGAAGGGATCTGTTGTGGCCCTGCTCTACTGCTTCTTGAATGGTGAGGTAAGTAAACAATGAACAACATTTTTAGGCCCAGTATTGTATAAACAATATGATCTCATTAGAATTAGTCATGGAGGACGACATTCATCTTAAATCATTATTACCATTCAATGTACTTAAATACAAATTAATTTATATTGACAGTTAAAAGACCATACAAGTGGTTTGGCAAGTCCCACCCAGTTAGCCTAGCCTGACATCGCCACACCAAATTGAACATGTGAGTTAATCTGCAACCTCCAGCCACTGATTTTCCATGTTGTATTATGATGAAGCACTGAGTGACAGACAAACATAAACGGTGTGCAGTGATGAGCTGTGATGGTGTAGCATCAATATGTCAGAACAAGGTTCGCCATTTTCGCCATCAGAATTTGAAAACACAAAACAAAAAGTTCTACATCAGCTGCAGCCATTATGGTTGTTTTTGGAAATGTCTCAGCTGTGCTTAGCTTTACTAAGGTATTGCAAGTTGTAAATCATCATCTGAAACATGCCCCATATTATATTAACAGTCGCTGGCTGGAAATCTATCTAAACAGTAGAGGGGCCGAACGCATTGGCCAGAGCAAATAAACCTTGAGCTTGCAGATTTGTCTGGTTTCCAGGTTACAGTTAAGCACAAGCTGTTGCCATTTTACATTTTGTCAGTTATTATCCAAAGCATATTGTAAGTTTCTACATAAACTTTCAAGTTCGGGACAGACATTGTGCTAAAAAGGCAACCTGACGAGACTTTAAACTTGCATGAGATTCTTTGTTTTCGATAAAAGTTAATTATTGTTATCTGGTAAAGCAAAAGCAAGACAGTACTGTCATGAAAATGCTTATTGTTGGTTTGATTCAGGACACTCTGATGCCAGGTTTCAGGATGGGCTACTTGAAAGCACCCTTCATGAAAAGCCTTCACACTGACACAGGTGTTTTCAGTTCTTCTGGCTGATTAGATTTCTGATCTAGTTGAAAGAGAAGAGATCTAATCAGCCAGAATAAGCGAAACACTGGTGTGCAGGGAAATATGTCTTTTTGTAGTGAAAATAAAAAAAAAAATACTAATTGCCATAGCTAGCTTTAATAAATGGTATTCAGTGGCTATCTGAGGGGAGGAAAATCAAACTAAAAACCTATGATATGTTTCGGAAAGTCAAAAAGTGTCTGTATTTGATCGGCTAAAATGTGCAAATCTGCTTGTATGAAAACCCCAAACTGTACCTTTCACTCCATGTTGTAATATTTAAGCGTTATTTCTGTTATGTTTGGTTTTTTTACATATGAATGTTGGTGTGCGTTCAGGTGCAGGCAGAACTGAAGAAGAGGTTTTGGTTTTGGCAGACTCAGAGCTACCTGAGCTACAGTAAAAGACGGCGTACGTTGTTCACTGAAAGCAGCACGGTCACTCAGATCTCCGTCCTGGACAAATCCAGCCCCAAAGACCAGCCGGCCTCAGAGACACACACCCTCACACCCAGCAACGTCTCTGCCGTCTGAGGAACATACACTGGTGTTCACGTCTTGTGTTACAACACCTGCTCAGCATTGGGACGGCGTCCTGAGCAAGTGACTAAACCACAGAGCCTGATTGTTGAATGTTAAAGGTACCTCTTAACTTTGTACGGTACGAATTCCCACATGGGCCTCCAAACTTAAGTTTTTTTATTCACAGTATCCCACACAACATTCCCTCATGATATTTATCATTTTCAGCTCCCAGGCGTCAGACAGAGAGGCCACATCTTCTGTTACCTTATTTATTTATCATAGGCAGGATTTAGCTGTGGGGTCCCTCCTCCACATCTTAGTCACAACCACCACATCATTTCTCCCCTTCTATAAACACACCAACAAGTGCACCATGTATGTGGCTTAAAAACGTTGTCCTTTAACTTATTTTATTACATGTAACAAATTAAAAATCAACCATATTATACTACTACGATAATATACTATATAAGTAACAATTATGACGAGTAGTTTTTTCTTTTACAGCTCCTCTGACTACTGCTGGTTTAAGTCTCAACTGCTCTGTTTTGCACTGTAATGTTGTGTTTGTTCACATGCTAAATCATTCATAAATGAAAATGGGCACCAATAAAATAATTTTTTCCTTTATTGTGGTCTCAAGTAGCCACAAGATGGACAATAGTCAGAAGGAGTAGGAGCAGGAGAGGACAAACACACGTTTCTTGCAGCTGTGAGGTCAGTTAGTGGGGATTTTATAACATTTTCAATTTTTTAGGGTAAAAATAAGTCAGTTTTATTTTTATGTAACAGCCTTTCCTGCATTAAACTAATCTAAGAAGAGAATTAAGAATAGTTTTATGATACATTTCTTCCCCCACCTCTGCATCACGTGAGGTCGTTTTTCAAGCATTTTTTGTAAGTACAAAGTCAGCAGCTGATTAGGTTTGTCTACCAGGTTGTCCAGTTTGCAAATGCCACAGGCCCTAAAGGACATGCTGTTCACAATATATTGAGACAGAAAAAAAACTTAAATCACTACTTGTGCACTTAATACTCCTCGATTTGGCTGATCTGTATTTATTTTTTATACTTTTTCCTGATAGAATTGTTCCATTCATTACAGTCTAGACTTCTCTCACAATGATGTTCATGTTATTCTTGCTCTAACTCATTCAGTGCCACTGGTCCTATGACTGCTGGGCACTACACTATCATTCTTCTAGTTCTTATAACATGAAACTTCCATCATTTAATAGAACATGCCCATGTTACCATCAGTGGCTCTGCATGCAACATGTTGCACAGTGCACTAGCGCACATCTGGAGCACTAGACTGTAAAAGCTATTTATCTGTGAGATTATTGTTTTTAATGTCTTTGTGTCAATGTAAATAGACCTGAACTAGAGTTTACATGTATTTTATGGCAACAGTGCAGTTCCTGCAACAGATTTATAAAACATATTTAATGACCTTGTTACAGTAAAAACAAAAAAGTCATAAATAAGGTAAAAACAGATTTAACATCTTACTTTGAAATAGAAGAGTTGGTGTTAATATTTAACAGATTTTTGTATCATACCTATATGATAGTTATATTCTTTTATGCTGTACAATTGCAAAGTGTGGAGAAAATTATACTGTTCATTTCCCTGTTTGTTAACATTTAGTTTAGTGATGCACAGGTACTGACTGCTGTGCTAAAGCTAATGCTAATCCAGAACCTGTTTCCCATGAGAAGTTATTGTGGGAGACTAGATGAGCTGTTTTCAAGTCAATGACTGTTTCTGTATCTGTGCTTTGAATTTATATATATGTTTTCTGTGTTTTAACTATAGTAGGAAGTTAGTAGGTATGTTCCGTACACTCAGTATTCATGTACATATAGATATGTGCAGTATTCTTCATGGAAGGAATTACTACGTTACTCAGCTACTGACCGCTACAGTGCCTTTATTATACAGTATAACTCACTGTTTCTCTGGAATACAGATGGATGGAACCTACAGTAGGTTTGCATTCAGAGCTCTGTGTGACAAAATCATATATTTAAGGTTGTGATACTATAATATGTACTTGAGTCTTTGCTGTGCAGCATAACAGATCTGCTTCTGTGTTGTGTTGGATTCAAGACATAATAAGAATTGTGCTTAAGTGACAAAAACAAAGCTTTCATCACATTTAAAAACTGCAGGGAGGAGATGGAGGATGATATTCACTGAGCATGTCTTGATGTGATCTTCTTGAGAAAAAAAAGCCTTTTATGTTGTGTCTGGACTTTGCTTTTTAGATTACACAGTGTTATTTCTCTTTCCTCTGACAAAGTGATGTAGGTTTCTTTTTCAGGTTCCAGTTTACGACATGAATGCAAGTTTCTCATTTGGTGTTCTCTTATTTGGGCTGAGGGCCAACATTACAGGAGAAGACTGGTGAACACATCTGTATTTTCTTATTGTTAACATCCCATGAACAGACTAAAACCAAGTCCAAGTTCTGACTTCCCTTTTTTTTGGCTGTGGCACTCCAAGACCATTGCTAATGACAAAGAAAAACAGTTTTAAAACAACTCACAAACAAAACTCTTTAATTTCAGAAAAAAATATGGCCACTGTAGTTTTTTTCATACATTAATTAGACAGGAATAAATTCTGCATTTGTTAGGAACTATTTTCAGTTGCGGGTTATAACACATTTTATTAGGATTTTTTTGGTTTGTTTTTTTCAGAAACTATTAAAAATATATCAGTGATCTACACTGTTGCTCTGGGTAACATGTTCCTTCATTACCATGAACACACACACTGTAGTTTATTTTGACTTAATCGCACATACACCATCCTGCTGGCCCAAATGTGGATTAATCCACCACTGAAAAAAGTCCCCAACAAATGCACTATTTTGTCCTGTTTGAGTAAAAATGACAAAAAACTACAGTGCCCAGCTGTTTAAGGAAATTACTGAGCCTTTTTAAAAGATAGTAAGGGAGTAAGGAAAATTGGAAAGTACTAAAAGATGGACTAACACATGAGTTTGGGTCTGTTTATAGGTATTGTTTACAGTTGAATAACACTAGCCTTACTCTTTAAGACAAGAAACTTCTGAATATTTACCACACAACAACATTGAGCCAACAAGTTAAAAACATTTATTGTCGATACTTCCAAAATGTACAAAAAAAACCCTCTAATGTGCACACCAAAACAAGATAAAATGGTGCACTGTGCAGTGAACAAGATCAAATGAAAAACAGAAGAGCAGACAGAAGCAGGCTCATGGCAGAGTGCTTTAAGTCACTTTTACATTCAGCTATCAGTACACAAACTACTGAGCCCCAGTTTTTTTAACCTCTAACTGATTCAACAGGCAATTGGTACAATGACGCAATTCAATAAAGAAGATAACCACCATCAAAAAGCTATAAAGGAAAAACATTTGAAACCAGTTTTCTTGTCATGCTGTGCAATAAAAATCAATAAGAACAAAATGAGTACAGCAGTTTTATGGCACTTTACTTTTCCTCATGTCTGCAAAGATTAACATTCAAAGGAAAAGTATTTGATGGGTCCTGATGGGACTGGAGCTACAGTTTGATAAATCGTTCACAGTTCAAACCCAATATTCACGTTCTAGCTTATTAATTGCCTCATCCATTTGAAAACGAGCACGCAGCTCAGATTCCCTTTAATGTCCTGAAAGCTCGACCCTCCCTTGTGATTACATCTGCTGGTCAAATGAGATCATAACGATTTAACAAGCATGCATCAGCCTATTAGAGAGTACAGAGGCATTACAGGAGGCTTTATACTTTTAGCAAAACACGATCACCATTAAGAAAAATGATAAAAAAATATGAGAACAATCACAGCGCAAAGTTTTTAAATGACAGTTATTCACTTTGAACCACAGAAAACTCCATTTACAAGGTACAACGTTGGCAGCTTGTTTCTGTGTCGTACATTTAAACTGCAGTTTATTTAGTCACAAAGGTTGGCTACAGACCTTTCAAACACTTCAGCTAACTACTTCATAGTTCAAAACAACAGGTTCAAATGAATATTTATTCTTATAATAATAGCAACATCTTTGTCTGACATCAACATAGTACTGGCAATATAAGGCTCCAACTCCCATATTAACACTAAAGGAAATACTTCATAAATACATGAACAAAATTAGGCTCATGACCCGGTGAGATTGTCATAATGTCTGTAATGAACTCAACTGAACATTCAACTGAACCAGAGCAGAGGTGGTGATTGTCCAGCCCTTTCCCTAAACATCAGAAGATGAAACAGGGCCCCCTTATGGCTGCTGTTGGATCTGCACTGTTATTATTGCAGGTCACACTGCACACATATATGGCAGAACAACAGGACAATACAGTTTCCGGTCAGCCCTTCTTTTCTCTCTCTGCCTTCATTTGGTCTGGACTCCCAGAAAAAATGCATGTGGTAATTTGCAGGTCAAGACATGTGCAGTATAGACAGTGAGTGCAAAACTCGACAAAATGTGGCTGAGGCGTGAACAGTTACAATCAATTACCTCTTGTCATTTTAGCAACTATATTTCAGTGTCTACTAAGAATCTGCTGGACATTGAAATATACTGATTAAAATTATGTTGATCTAAATGTCAAAAAAATCAAACTTAGCTCAGTTTAAACCTCGATGCAGGGCTGTCATTTAAGACACAGGTTTTATCCTCAGTATTGTTTCTGGAAATTTGGCACTTTTACTCTTTTGATATTCTTTTAATATTAGATATTAAAAATGGTTTCTAGAAAAAAAGTCTTAGATATCAATAAAAGGATAAAGTACTTTTCCATTATCTTCTTGGCAGTGTGAAGAAGGCTTTTAAACAGCATCTAGACCATTATGTAGTGATGTAGTGAGATAAAATTTACAGAAATCAGATTTTTTTTTTCATGAATTTGGACTCACAACCTCAGTATGTTAAAAACGAGGTACACGGAGTCCTGAAACTATCAAAATGTTTTGTTTAAAAAAGTAAAAAATACGACTGTATACATTAATAAATAATACCGGTAAAAAATTATAAATGGAGTGTTAAAAGAAATATGAAGTTTTTTGTTGTACTATGGGTGGGCCAGATAAAATGAGCATCTGGTGCAGATAATGTAGATTTTATGAGTATCATTTGAGTAAAATCTAATATCCATACTCATGATAAGGAAAAAATGTAGATCTGTGAAAATTATTATTTAATGATATTTTGTCAGTTTTGGGACTCTATACATGACGTCTTTCACCTGCAAATTACCAAAACAATGTTAATTGTTTGACTTTAAACAGTTGATGAGAACTCAACATTTAACTACAGTATAATACTGAACTGAGCAGATGTACCTTTCTATGAATATCAGCTATGATTAATGTGTATTCAGAAAAGAAACAGCAAATATCTCTTAATCAAAGAATGCACTCATTTGTTGTTGTTTTGTTGGTTTTCCATTTCAGTTTGTCTTTGAAGACACTTCAGACATTTCAGACAGTTGCAGTTTGACAAAAGGTTTTTGTCCTTACAGAATTTGGAAATTCAGTCATAGGGAATTTAGGATACGAAACGATATTAGTATAGAATGGTCTCATATTTTGAAAAATATAAAGATGAAAATCTTGTGGTTCAGGAACATGAGACTTTTACAGCCCAGTAATTTTCCATTTTTCTGCTGTTGACAAAAATAAAGGATGTGTCTGCAAAATAAGAAAAGTGAAACATATTTATTTCTTGTGTGCATGTGATAAAGTGTACTGTACATTGACTTACTGAGTTAATATACTGTAGCACTGCTTTATCCAAAACACTAATTGGTCGTATGTTCTGCTCATCTTTAGCAAAGACAAGTTACTTTGAAGGCCTCCAGGTTTAAAATACTGATTTAGTCTTAAGCATCATAAAAGCACTTTGTTCAACCATTTTCTTTACTTTGCAGTTTTGTTTGGAAATTAAAAACAGAAATCCCTTTTTTAAAAATCATCAACAGAAGTCAAAATACTTGTTTTGTGCTTAAAGGCACTTTTGGAGACACAAAGTAGAGTCTAACATAGGGATTCAGAGGATAGTTGAATCAGACCAAAAGAAACATCTGCAGTGACATAAGTTGCAAAGCTAACTCAGCCTTTGCAAACAGATACGGCCGTGCAAAACTCAGTGAGGAGTCAATTAATTTGTCTTTGGAATGAGAGAATTACCCCCAAGTTAAAAGTCCCTCTCAAAATGTAGCATCCATCTCAATGTGCCTGTTTTCAAGCATAAAGAGAGCAAATGCTACCAGAGACAATAACTGCAGAAACACAGAGGTGATACTGCGAGGTGGTACAAGGGATTGGTCTGAGAAAAAGCCCTCATTAATCAAAATTAAAACAATTTTTTCAAATGGCCCTTTTTTTTGCCCGGAAACAAATAAGGAAATTTTCACCCAAAAACAGTGAAGTGCTGTGATGTTTCCGACAGTCTACACCTTCACTTCAACCAGTACAGTGTTGAAACTTCCTGCAGGAGGCTGTTGAAGAGGCTCAGCTTTACAAAGTGACAGGAGAATCAGTATTACAGCGTGTCACCTCCACAACAGCCCGAAGTTTGTGGAAAAAAAACAAAAACTAAATTAAACACTAAATTCTCACCAAAAAAGTAACCAAAACCACGTGGACAATAAATGCAATTTCATGCAAGCAGTTAAACTCATGTAGCTTTAGTCATGAGTTCATTTTCATTGACATTTTCTGTACTAACGGCTGTTTGAAACTACAGAAACGCTGATCTCCAAAGGTGCCTTCTTCTCAGACGTCTAGTTTGCAGTGCTGAGATTTCAAAGAGAGGTCTGTGTTTGTGGTCGTAGTTGGCAAACCTCAGCACTGTGCACATGAAGAAGAAGAAGACCTTCAGAGTGATCATCTAACCCTGGTATGTTTTTTCCCTCTCTCTTTTTTTTGGCATTTCACATAACTGTAGAAAATATGTCCTTCTCATAAATACTGCTCTTCCAGGTTTCACCTGTTAGATCCAGATGAAATTTCTCCTTGACATTCTTCAGTCCTTATATTGTTGTACATCAGTCACAGTTTACACAGGAAATGTGGGCTTGTGCCAGTAGTGAAAAATAATACTGAGCTTTCTGAATGGGTTCAATAAGTCTGGGTTTGACTTGGGGTTCATAATGTTTCAGCTGACTCTAAGCTCTATCTGTAACACTGATTTGATGGTGAAAGATTTAACACTGATGTGTGCATCAACTTTCACTGATTTAAGGTAACAACTGTACATTAGGGCGCGTCAGAGTTAAAGCAGCAGACGACAAAATATCTTGAATTTCAGTACAAAGTTTGGGGCAAGCTCCAAAAACACTGAATACTACATTTCCCGTAATGCAGCAAACTATATCTGTTTGATAGATCCAGCTCTTGTAGTGAATACCGGCATGTTTCAACCACCATGCCCTCAGTTTTTAACACAAGTTTTCTGTTAAAACGTGTGCCCAAGCTGAAAAAACCCTGATGACATTATCATGACATCGCTAGGGTTATTTTTTCAGAGCCACACATTACATCATAGCCTGATAAGTGGCCTTTATGTGTAAAATGGAGTGTCCCTTTAAGGTATTTACATTGCCCAGTGTTGTCTGTCGTATATGAAGCAGCTGTAACTTCTGTATCTAAAGATGAAAATAGTGTATAGTTACAGTCTTAAACACATTTTGAGGAAAAGGTGAATCTTGAGGACAAATGTAAAAACTTGCTCAGACAGACTGGAATGATCACTGTGAGAGGGCTGCAGTAATAAGCTGGTCCCCCTGTGCTATACAGCAGCAAAGACTGTA